TAACTTTTCTGTGCAGCAATGAGGATAATCCTCAGGTTACGGACCCAGTCCGTGTAATTGCTACCATCATCTTTCAACTTTGCTTTCTCAAGGAACGCATTAAAATTCAACGGAACAACAGCACGAGCCATCTATCTACAAACAAACATAGACAAGCAAGATACTATCAGGTACTAAGTTCATGATAAATTTAAGTTCAATTAATCATATTACTTAAGAACTCCCACTTAGACAGACATCTCTCTAGTCATCTAAGTGATCACGTGATCCAAATCAATCAAACCATGTCCGATCATCACGTGAGATGGAGTAGTTTCAATGGTGAACATCGCTATGTTGATCATATCTACTATATGATTCATGCTCGACCTTTCAGTCTCCGTGTTCCAAGGCCATATCTGTATATGCTGGGCTCGTCAAGTATAACCTGAGTATTCCGCGTGTGCAACTGTTTTGCACCCGTTGTATTTGAACGTAGAGCCTATCACACCCGATCATCACGTGGTGTCTCAGCACGAAGAACTTTCACAACGGTGCATACTCAGGGAGAACACTTCTTGATAATTAGTGAGAGATCATCTTAAAATGCTACCGTGAATCAAAGCAAGATAAGATGCATAAAGGATAAACATCACATGCAATCAATATAAGTGATATGATATGGCCATCATCATCTTGTGCTTGTGATCTCCATCTTCGAAGCACCGTAATGATCACCATCGTCACCGGCGCGACACCTTGATCTCCATCGTAGCATCGTTGTCGTTACGCCATCTATTGCTTCCACGACTATCGCTACCGCTTAGTGATAAAGTAAAGCAATTACAGGGCATTGCATTTCATACAATAAAGCGACAACCATATGGCTCCTGCCAGTTGCCGATAACTTCGGTTACAAAACATGATCATCTCATACAATAAAATATAGCATCACGTCTTGACCATATCACATCACAACATGCCCTGCAAAAACAAGTTAGACGTCCTCTACTTTGTTGTTGCAAATTTTACGTGGCTGCTACGGGCTTAGCAAGAACCGTTCTTACCTGCGCATCAAAAACCACAACGATAGTTCGTCAAGTTGGTGCTGTTTTAACCTTCGCAAGGACCGGGCGTAGCCACACTCGATTCAGCTAAAGTGAGAGAGACAGACACCCGCCAGCCACCTTTAAGCACGAGTGCTCGCAACGGTGAAACCAGTCTCGCGTAAGCGTATGCGTAATGTCGGTCCGGGCCGCTTCATCTCACAATACCGCCGAACCAAAGTATGACATGCTGGTAAGCAGTATGACTTGTATCGCCCACAACTCACTTGTGTTCTACTCGTGCATATAACATCAACGCATAAAACCTGGCTCGGATGCCACTGTTGGGGAACGTTGTAATTTCAAAAAATTTCCTACGCACACGCAAGATCATGGTGATGATATAGCAACGAGAAGGGAGAGTGTTCGTCCACGTACCCTCGTAGACCGTAAGCGGAAGCATTAGAACAACGCAGTTGATGTAGTCGTACGTCTTCATGATCCGACCGATCCATGCACCGAACGTACGGGGCCTCCGAGTTCAGCACACGTTCAGCTCGATGACGATCTCCGGCCCTCCGATCCAGCAAAGGCTCCGGAGATGAGTTCTATCAGCATGACGGCGTGGTGACGATGATGATGTTCTACTGGCGTAGGGCTTCGCCTAAACTCCGCGACGATATGACTGAGGTGGAATATGGTGGAAGGGGGCACCGCACACGGCTAAGGAACGATCCGTAGATCAACTTGTGTGTCTTTGGGGTGCCCCCCGCTCCCGTATATAAAGGAGCTAGGGGGGAGGAGGCGGCCGGCCTAGAGGGCGCACCAAGGGGGGGAGTCCTACTCCCACCGGGAGTAGGACTCCCTCTTTCCAAGTAGGAGTAGGAGAAGGGGGGGGAGAGGAGGAAGAGGGGAAGGAAAGGGGGGGCGCCGCCCCCTTCCCTTGTCCTATTCGGACTAGGAGGGGGAGGGGCGCGCGGCCCCCTCCTGGCTCCTTCCCTCTTCTCCCTCGTGGCCCAAGTAGGCCCTTTAACCCCCCGGGGGGTTCCGGTAACCTTCCCGGTACTCCGGTAAAATGCCGATTTCACCCGGAACCATTCCGACGTCCAAACATAGGCTTCCAATATATCAATTTTTATGTCTCGACCATTCCGAGACTCCTCGTCATGTCCGTGATCACATCCGGGACTCCGAACAAACTTCGGTACATCAAAACGTATAAACTCATAATAAAACTGTCATCGAAACGTTAAGCGTGCGGACCCTACGGATTCGAGAATTATGTAGACATGACCTAAAACCATTCTCGGTCAATAACCAATAGCGGGACCTGGATGCCCATATTGGTTCCTACATATTCTACGAAGATCTTTATCGGTCAAAGCGCATAACAACATACGTTGTTCCCTTTGTCATCGGTATGTTACTTGCCCGAGATTTGATCGTCGGTATGCAATACCTAGTTCAATCTCGTCACCGGCAAGTCTCTTTACTCGTTCTGTAATACGTCATCTCATAACTAACTTATTAGTTATAATGCTTGCAAGGCTTAAGTGATGAGTATTACCGAGAGGGCCCAGAGATACCTCTCCGACAATTGGAGTGACAAAAACCTAATCTCGAAATACGCCAACTCAACATGTACCTTCGGAGACACCTGTAGTACTCCTTTATAATCACCAAGTTACGTTGTGACGTTTGGTAATACCCAAAGTGTTCCTCCGGTAAACGGGAGTTGCATAATTCTCATAGTTACAGGAACATGTATAAGTCATGAAGAAAGCAATAGCAGAATACTAAACGATCAAGTGCTAAGCTAACGGGATGGGTCATGTCAATCACATCATTCTCCTAATGATGTGATCCCATTAATCAAATGACAACACATGTCTATGGTTAGGAAACATAACCATCTTTGATTAATGAGCTAGTCAAGTAGAGGCATACTAGTGACTATACGTTTGTCTATGTATTCACACATGTATCATGTTTCCGGTTAATACAATTCTAGCATGAATAATAAACATTTATCATGATAGGAGGAAATAAATAATAAATTTATTATTGCCTCTAGGGCATATTTCCTTCACCCCCGCACGCCTGTCGAGTGTATGGCTCAATCCATTTCGATTTTTCCTCCGTTTTTTCTTTGACATTTTATTTCTTTTATCTGAACCATTTTTCTGTTTTTCTTTGCCGTTTTCTTTAATCTTTCCTTTTTAATTTGGTTTTTTCTTTTTTCCTTTTTAATTTTAGATTTTTAATTTTTCAATTTATTTTTTCTTCCTTTTTATTTTCCTTTTTCAATTTGTGAACATATTTAAAATTAATGAAAAAATATTAAAATCTTCAACATTTGTTGAATCCCTAGACTTATTTTTGAAATCATAAACAAATTTTGATATCATGAACATGTTTCAAATTTGCCTATATATTTTACAAATTTGCTAAAATATTTTGAAATCTTGGTCATTTTCTGAAACTGCGAACATTTTTAAAAACTTGTGTGAACATATTTATGAATTGGTGAATATTTTTTAATCGACGATCTTTTAAGAAATTTGGGAAAAGTTTTGAAATTCATGAACACATTTTTGTTTCAAAAATATTTTTTCAAATGCATAAACATTTTTTGAATTTATGGGTATTTTTTGAATTGACGAGCATTTACTGAATAAATGACCTTTTTGGAACATTGGGAAAGTTTTTCAAATTCACGGAATTTTTTTATTTTTTATACAAAAATCATGAATTTTCTTTGAATTCACGAACATGTTTTCAAATTCACGAACATCTTTTTATTCATGAAAATTTTCTTCTAAATCATGCCTATTTTTTGATTTCCCAAATATGTTTTTCAAAATCTTTAGTTTTGTTTAATATGCAAACATTTTTTCAAACCACGAATATTTTTAGAATCCGTGAACATTTTTTTATTTTCACAAACAGTTTCTGAATTCATGAATATTTTTTGCATTCTGAAGATTATATGATTTCTCGAACATTTTTTTTCCAAAAATCGCAATTTTATTTTGAAAATTTGGACATTTTTTAGTCCCTAATTATTTTATAGAATAAAAACGAAAAACAAAAAGCAAAAAAAAAAAGAACGAAGAGTACAGGGGCGTCCCGTCGTAGTAATACCACGTTGGCCTTCAATTTGCCCTAGACCTGGAGGGACACGACGGACGCTTTGTGATTTCGGCGCTAGGTATAATTACCCTCGCATCTCCTGCTCTAATCCCCAGCCCGACGATAACTCGACGCGTTCCTTCAATTCCCCTCGAACTTTCTTTGCTTCCCAATGAGTCGCCCGTTCCTCAAGGTGAACTCTTATCTATACAAATCTTCCGTTCATGCCCATGACTACATGACCATGATGAATCGATCTAGGACGTTTTATCTCTTCTGTTTTGATTATTCCGTGGAGCGTACTACGTATTAAGCTGCTGTATTTAAATCCATAAATGCGTCAAGCGTACGTTATAATCGATCTTGTGATTACTTCCGCGGATTTCTGGCAAGACTATATATACCTACTGAACCAAAAGACAAGTGTACTAATTTTAGCGATGTTAATTAAACCAGACTGTCTTATCTGAACAAGATGTCTCGACCCTCGATCACCTGTGCAACATACACGTAGGTCGAGACTGTCGATCTGCTGTGAAATTATTTGATGTCTCCTCTGTTGCCCTTCAATTGATCGAAATTGCTGATATTTGGTGCGTGCAGCAGATGCAACTCTTTGTGAGGACACTCGCCGGCGAGGCCATTGCGGTAAACGCCGATCCGTCGGACACTATCTACAACGTCAAGACGAGGATCCACAGTGAGTTAGGTGATCCCATGTCCAACCACTGCCTCATGTTCGATGGCAAGGAGCTGGAGGAAGGACGCACCATCGCAGATTACGGCATTGACAAGTAGTCCGTCGTCCAACTTGCCCTTCTCCCGAAGCCGACACGAGGACCGATGCAAATCTTCCTGAAGATGCCGAATGGTCGGTTAACCCTCGAGGTCGATAGCTCAGACACCGTAGACAAGGTCAAGAAAAGGATTCATGTTACATGGGGCATCCCGCCACCATCCCAGCTGGCCCTCCTCTTTGACGGGAGGCAGCTAGAGGATGGACATGGACTGGATGGCTATGGAGTCTGCGAGGGGTCCACCCTCCACCTCGCCCTTCGTGGGTCGGACTGGATCCTCGTCTCTGTCAGGCTGCCTATTGCCCGCAAAAACCCCATAATTCCTCTTATGGTCCAGAGTTCAGATACCGTCGACATATTCAGGGAGAAGCTCCAGGAATTGAAGGGGATTACTGCGTCTGAGCAGCGCATCGTCTTCCGGGGAAGGCAGCTGAAGGATGGTCTCAACCTAGCGGAATGTGGCGTGGTGGAGAACTCGTGCCTCGATGTGTTACTCCGTCTGCGTGGTACAAATTGCCCTGGTTGTGCGAGGCAGCGAGGGGAAGAAGTTGACTGAAGCTTAAAACTCTTGTCTATTGGTATATGCTTTTGAGGCATTCTCATCTCTAGCTGTGAAGAGTAAATTGTTGAGTACCTAAGTATCATGCTTGCTGCAGTTGTTGGTTGTTTTTATATTTTTACACAAAGATCTAAAGTCTCTCAAGTTTCCTGTAAGAAATACTCCCTGTGCCGTATAGAGAGAGACACTGTCCAATATAGTACTGTGGGCGCTGTTTTACATCAATATGGTGGTCAAAATTTAGAAACATACTCTTGTGTGTTTCTGAAATTCTGAGTGAATGTGGTAATGTACTTGGACCATTAGCACAGACTTGTGCAAATTGTTGCAATACCCTCGAGCAAAATAAGCAAGCCAAGGAAGCTGCTCCATGCTATAAAGAAATTAACAGGCCAAATTTCAGCAGTCAGCCGCATAATTCTTCTTTGGATGCAACCAAAGTAGAGCACACGAAAAAAGCAGAGTACGTAACAGATACTGAAAAACGTAGTGCATGCAGTAGCAAATGCTTCGATTTTTGATAACAGAGTGCTCCTGCATATACTTCAAACAACATTAACCCGCGCTATTGGGCCATGTTTACTTTGTCACTGGCACCACAGGACGAGACAGAAAGGTGCATGACATACATTTCGAGTATACTGATTGTAGCCTGTAGGTAGCAAATAATTCTGACATACTATCGTGCATTCTTACGCCAGGTTTTTGCATCGCTGGACAATTCTAATGCCTCGACACTGTCGACTGTTTCCACGTTATCGACCTCTAGAGCGAAGGTCTTGGCTGTAAACGTTTTAACTAAGATTAGCATCTTCCTTCTCTGGGGCCGCAGATCAAAGTGAAGGATGCATTCATCCTCAATGCCGTAATCAACCAGAGTTAATCCATCCTCAAGCTCCTCCCTGCCAAACATAAGGCCTGATGATCCTGAATCTTCGCCTTGATAATGTAGACGGTGTCCCCTGGATCGACCTTGACGGTGATCATCTTGCCCGCAAGGGTCTTGACGAAGATCCGCATCTGTTAAATGAGCATACCAAACATCAGTAATTTCGATGGACCACTAGTAGAAAATAGGGCATTTGTCCCGGTTCGTAAGGGCCTCTAATCCCGGTTCTTGAACCGGGAGTAATAGGTCGTTACTAATGCCTCCCGCCTTTAGTTCCGGTTCTTACACGAACCGGGACAGATGGGCCTCCACGTGACCGCTGCGGGCAGCCCAGGCAGGAGGACCTTTGGTCCCGGTTGGTGACATAAACCGGGACCAATAGGCATCCACTCGTCAGAAACTGGCTGCAGCTGAGGTTTTTTTTTAAAGTGGCTGATTTAGGGGTTTTGGATGTTAATTTAGGTTGTTATTAGCTAGCTAATAGAAGGAAGTGTCCTCTCTTATATCTTCGTGCTTGGTTTACCAACACTACTGCTATGTTCATTTCACCCGCTGATATATAATAACACTTCATGCTTCCATCATACATCATCATGTATAATAACAAAGACCTACTAATCATGCATCATCATACAACTTCTACTCGTTATTAATAACAAGTCATACGATCATCATACTCATAGTCATCGAACCCAACCCTATATAATTGTTCTTATAGCACATGATCATCAGTATCACCTAAACACACTTAAGATAAAATAACATAAAACAATATAGACCCTGACTCTCCATTATGAAGAATGAAGATCATCCTGTCTCCAATTATTGCGCTTCGCTTCCTTTTGCTTCCAAGAAGCTCCTTACGACTGTCCATATATTTTTTTCCATTCTTTGATTGTCATGTCTCCACTTCTTTTAGAAATCCGGTATGTACAGTTGAGATTCGTAGGACGACCTGGTTGTATGTTCAAAACATCAAGGTGACCGTGCGTATACATCAGATGAGGCATACAATCATTCATGATTATCTGTTGAAAAACATAGTAATAACTTCGTAGTTAGCAATGATGTAGTAGCTTTAGAAGTATGTAAAAAGATGCACGGATGTCGTAATAGTAAAAAATCTTATCAGGGTATCTCCATGGTAGTTACCGTAGTTCAACACGTGCACTAGTGACACGTATTGACCATAATGTTGAGGAGTTTGATTGTAGATATTGTAATTCTCAAGATCAGTACAAAATGCGATCAGATGATTTTTCTCCTTATAAGTTAATTTGGAGCCATCGGTGTAGTGGGTTTTGTCTACCATCTTCCGCACATTCTTTGAAGAATGAAAATAAACTGTCAATGGAAATAAGATGTCAACTATTTTGAAATAAACAATATAAATTACTTAATAACTATGTTTGAGAAGCTCACATCGAGAATAATTGGAAGTGTATCAACAAGGACCCAAATGTCCATATTGTCTTGCTCGATTGTAGGATCACCGAGATCCATGGTGACAAGCATACCCTCATCAAAACCATATATCTTTCAAAGTGCTTCCAAATTTTTGCAATCAAAATGAGTTACACTCACAGAATTGTACAACTTTACTTCAAAATCCACACCATGATGGGTCCTTAGGTGAATTTTTTTGTTTTCCATACTTTCATGGTCTTCAAAACCCATCCTCTCCAAGACATAGCGTCTTGCATAGCATGAGATAAGCTAGTCGAATTGGAAAAGATGAAAAATACACGTTAAAATAGTTGAACTCGTGCTTAATTATGAAAAAAAATTATTGTCGTCGTTGCGTACTGTTTCAATATCGAAGGTCTCCTCGAGCTTAATGCTGAAGCGCCGATCTTCGTCCAGCTCAAGGAACCTGTCGCACATATCTCGGTCGTCGTGGCACCAGTCGCACTCCCCCGGGCGGTTTTTGTCGTCCGGGTACGACATTTCTGACCTATGTTCATAATTCAAATATTAAACTTGTACAATTAAATATATGTACTAAAAAACCTAAATTAGATCATTAATATTAATCACGGGTTGACTATCGGCGATGTGGTAGCTCCTCCTTTTATTCCCGAGTGCATTATTACACGTGAATGAAGGAGAAGCTACCCCCACGACGGCGTGGATGACGGAGGGGGCTCCTAGATTTCTGCATAGTGCTCTCCAGTTTTAGGATTCAAAGTAGGATTATTTTTCTAACATGAGCATTCAATAAGAGCAAGACCAAATCATAAAATAAAGTAGTATTCAAATTAGCATGCATTCAATTATAAGCAAAAGTACATCATTTCTTGTGTCGAATATTATCACTAATACTCCTCGAATACTATCATACATATAGCATCGCTAATACAACTAGAACCGTAGCCCCCGACGGGTATCGTCGTGGACGGTGGACACCCAAAGATAAGGAACCATCATAGGATCATAGCTCCGGTGAGATCCCTGAAGAACCTGCCAGGTATTGTCGAACATGCCCTCCAACGCAGCCATGTAGCAACGGACGTGCTCGTCCTCCTCGCTGACACGGTGACGTACCACCTCCGCGGTGTCCGGGAGCCTCGATACCGTCACTGGCCCACGCGACCGCCACCAAACAAGGATCGGGTCAACAACGGGCTGGCTCCTCATCAACCTACGCCCCCCGGAAAGAAGCACCTCCCAATACCAGCCCGGCGGAGCCCAGTACCGAATATGGCCCTGATTAAGCAGACCTCCACCGCCGAGTCGACGACGAGGATGCGGGATAGGCATCATCGACGTCGATGCGGGATTTACTTCTATATATAATAAAATAAAATAGTTTTATTAAATCAACTACTAAGCACTTACTATAAATAAATAAAGTGGTACTTACTAAAAATAAACTACTTCTTTAGTAAAATAAAGTAGTTTATTAAATCAACAAGTTCAACTATATATTAAGCACTTACTATAAATAAAATAAAGTAGTACTATAACTAATTATATTAAACACTTTCTCTTCTTATTTTCCTTTTTCCTCTCCTATTTTTTCTTCTAAATATGAACATATACATAAATGACTTTGATCATACACAATTTTCCTATACATACACAATATGAACATATACATAAATTAACAAAGAAAATTCTATGAACAAAAAAATCATTAAAATTCTATGAACAAAATTACAACAGAAAAAAATCATAAAAATTCTATGAACAGAAAAAAATCATAAAAAATTGACATATTTAATCTTTGCATATATATGAACATACAAACATGCATATTCAACAATAATATAACCAAAAAATCTATTAACAGAAAAAAATCTAACAAAAAATTCTAGGTCAGCGGATGGCGATGGCATGAGGGGCGCGGTGAGGGCGACTGGCAGGGGACGGCGATGGCGACGGTGCGTGAGAGGTGGCGCGGCGACGGGCGACGGTGAGGGGCGGCGTGGCGCGCGACGGGCGACGAGCAAGGCAGGGGCCGCCGGCGTCGCGGGGCACGGGGCGCGGGGAGGCGACGGCGTCGGGGAGGCACGGGACGGCGCGGGACGATGATGACGACAGCGAGGCGGAGAGGGCAGCCTGGCGGCGTCGGGGCGGCCGGGGAAGAACTGAATGAAATTTTGACGAGTGCCAGTTATATAGACAAAGCATTGGTCCCGTTTCGTGAGACAAATCGGGACGAATGCCAACTTTAGTCCTGGTTGGTGCCACCAACCGGGACCAAAGGCCTCTTTTCAGCAGCCCAAAGGGCGGGAAGCCGAGGTCTTTGGTCCCGGTTAGTGGCACCAACCGGGACTAAAGGATGGGCATTGGAACCGGTTGGTGCCACAAACCTGTACCAATGGACACCTTTAGTCCCGGTTGGTGCACCAACCGGGACCAAAGGCCTTGTGCTTCCCGCGTCGCGGCACGAAAGTTTAGTCCCACCTCGCTAGTTGAGGGAGCTCGAGAGTGATTTATAAGCCCCACTCCCGCTGCCCTGTCGAGCTCCTCTCAAATGCAGGCTTTCGGGCCTAAACACACTGTATCTGCCCGTGGGCCTGCTAGGCCGTCTGCAGACCTGAATCCTGGCCCAACTAGCTGGGTTTCTAGACGTATTCAGGACGTGGTGGCCTAGTAGGTTGCT